CCTGCGCCGTGCCGGTGAAGCGTGCCCTGAGGGCCCCGGCCACCCCGGTCCCGGGGGGAGCGCTGCCCCCGCCCACGGCCCCTGACCCGCAAAAATGGGTTCAAAGGCCAAAACCGCCCTGAGCCTCGCGGGGCACCCGGCCGTGACCCCATCCCCGGTACCCCGGCCCCCCCAGCTGCCCGCCACAGTTCGCTTTCCCCGGGAAGTATTTTTTGGGGAGCTTTCACGCAGCTTCAGCCTGGCAGGAGGCCGTGAATCCTTCGGGGTGCTCCTCCGCCCCACGCGTGGCCCGGCGGCTTTGCTGTGCACGCCAAAACCCGTGCAATCAATGCCGGCGGTGCAACACGGCGGCCTCTGCTTTGCCGTGACCCCTGGGACCAGAGCAGCCCATGCCGGCCCTTCAGCGCTGCCCCAAAACGAAGTCCATCCTGAGCTTGTTCTTCTGCAGAGCCCCGAGAACAGCAGCCCAGGGCAGGACGTCAGTCACGGGTGGGTGCGGCATCGGGGCTCACCTCGTTTTAACGCCCCTGTGCTCAGACGCACAAAACACTGATTTTCCTGGATATTAAACAAAACACCTATCATTGCCTGGTTCAGGGAGAACGGTACCAATAGCATCCGTGTCCTCCGCACAGAGGTTTCCCACCACCAGCAAATCCCCGGCCCACATCCCATGCCAGCTCAGGGGGTGATGCGTCCCCAGGGCGCGGGAGCTGCGGTGCTGCTGCGGGACGCGGCCGAGCCCCCAGCGCTGCTGCAGCTCCTCTCCCGACAGACCTGTTCCCCAGGCGCTGCCCAGACCAACGAGCATCCGCCAGCGGCGCTTGCGGTGAGAAACAATTAGGCAAAATCTAAATAGAAGAAAAAAAGGAAGGGAGGAAGGGAAACGGGGGGAAGAAACAGGTGGGGACTGACGGTGCTGCCAGCTGGCAAGCGCTGTGGCGAGGAGGCGAACCGCAGGAGTGCCAGCAAAGCTCTCCGTGCAGCTTGCCCTCGGAGACGCGCAGGGCCATGCTGGAAGCACGTTTTCCTGCAGGAATGAGGGCTGCCAGCCCTTCCCAGGAAGGCAGCGCGGTGGAGGAGACACCCTCCTCCGGGCTCTCACCTGCTCCTTCGGGGCAGGAGTGCGCAGCCGAGGTCACCACGGGGAATCCCGGGGAAACCCTTTCCGCTGACTCCGGCAGGAGGAGGAGGTTTTCCTGCTGTTAAAGAGGAAAGCACTGGTGAACTTCTCCCACCTCCCCAGCTCAGGATCAAGAAGTCAGGAGCCTGTGCTGCAGCGCCAGCACGGGACAGTGAAGGGGACTGGTGAGGTGGTGGGACGGGCACAGCTGAACCCCCCTGCCCCAGTGCGTGGGGGGCGAGGGCGGAATTTATCCTCCCTCTGCGCCCAGCGCCGATTCCAGCGCCTGAGTACAGGCAAGGCCAGGCAGCAGCCTCGGGCAGCTCAAAACCTTCCCATCCCCACAAAGCGTGCTCAACCCAACCGCGTGTTC